TTCTTGGTCCGATTAGCTGGTTTTTCCGCTGTTTAATAGTCTCACACTTTTTCATTGATACACTGAGTAGTTGGGTTATTATTAAAAAGCTTTGGGGAAACTTCAGCCTGGCCATTAGGAAATTTTGCACTGAAGATTATTACGCTGAACTCTTCTTTCCGCTTTTCTTTTCTTTTTTAGTTGAAGCACACACTTTTGGGAAGCCACCGGTGACTTCCCTGTTTCAAGCCTTCCTCCAATACAGATGACCTTACACCTAATTTTCCTCTTTTAAGGGTGAGAAAAGTTGAGGGGATTTTTTTTTACAGCTGATTGGTTAGTTGATTAGTTGATTAGGCTAAAACGGGGTTGACAAATTTGCCATTGAAAGTGTTACATGAATAAAACTACTTCACTAAATCATATGATCAGGCCATAGCATAGAATCATAGGACTGGAAGGGACTTTGGAGGTCTTCTAGTCTAACTCTCTGCTCCAGGCAGGAGCAAATGGTTATCCAATCTTTTCTTGAAAACCTTCAGTGATGTAGCATTCACAACTCCGGGAGGCAAGCTGTTCCACTGATTAATTGTTCTCGCTGTCAGGAAATCCTTCCTTATTTCCAGATTGAATCTCCCTCTGGCCGAGCTTCCAGCCATTGCTTCTTGTGTATTCTGTGTGAACATACAGTTATGTTTTGTAAAGCTTAGTTTCCAGCTTAGACCCAGGTTGTGTGAAGCCAGCACAGGAATTTTTATGCTGTAGTAACAGAGGACAATATTTAACAGAATAACAGAGTTGGAAGAAAACTTGGAGGTCTTCTAGTCCAAGATTTTTCAACCAGTGGTACGGGTACCACCTGTGGTACATTGGCACTTGGCAGGTGGTACGCGACCCTCCTAGAAAAGTGGTAGCGGGGGAGGGGAATGAGCTGAGCCAGTGGCAGCATCGCACAAGCCTGAGCGAGAGATGGCTGGAACTGCAGGGCTGTCAGGGCTCAGCAGAAGCGCCAGGATCAGTGCCGCTTTCCAGCTGATTGATGCTTCTTTGGAGCTGTCAGGGTTCAGTGGAAGAGCCACGATCAGCACCAGGCTCCAACTGAAGCTCGGCGCTGATCCTGGCACTTCTGCTGAGCCCTGAAGAAGCCCCAATCAGCTGGACTGTTGCAGCATCTCCAGGGTCTTGTGATTTACATTCAGATGCTTGGCAACTGAGTCATATTTATGGTGGTCACAGTGTCCCAGGGTCATGTGAAGTGACCAAAACCTGCTGCAACCACCTAGCAGACGGGGGGAATAAAAACCAAACCCCCACCCCACCCATCCCACCCCCGCTGCCAATCCTCAACAGAAATGCTCACAACAATGAAAACCTCGGACAGGAGGAAGAGCGCCGCCGAGTGGGCAGGCAAATGTCTTGCTGAGCTGTGGCTTGGGGGGCACTTTTTTCAGTGCCATTGTAACTTCGAACAGTCACTAAGCGAACTGTTGTAAGTCGAGGACTACCTGTACTTTATCACTTTTTTCCTTTTTTTGGGTCATCAGGTTTTTGACACCTTGCTAGGCAACTGGTGGTATTCGGATGTTGCCATATCCTAAAAGTGGTACAATGGGTGATCCTGGTGCTTCTGCTGAGCCCTGACAGCCCTGCAGCTCCAGCCATCTCTCGCTCAGGCTTGTGCTGTGCTGCCACCGGTTCAGCTCATTCCCCTCCCCCACTACTTTTCTAGGATGGTCACGTACCACCTGCCAGGTGCCAATGTACCACAGGTGGTACCCGTACCACTGGTTGAAAAGCCCTGATTTAGAGCACCAGGAGCCAAGGTTAAGTCCTCTTAGTTTCCCCCAGGTTCAAATAGCATGAAGCCTAATAGGCAGATGCAGATAAAAGTAATGGTACATTGTTCCCAGTAAAACTGATGGCTGTATTCAGGACTCAGCCAGAACAGTTGGATTCACACAGCATGCAAAGTTAATATTAAACTTCATAAATCTTTGAGTTGGCTTCACAGGTTGCATAAATCTCAGTATTCATGCAATGTATTGTGGGATCCTAGAAAATGCAAACCAGTTAAACGTGGCAGTGAAGATTTAAGTCATACCTTAATGAAGGAGTACCCATGCTTTCATTATGCATCAAATGCTTTTATTTAAATCTTATACAGCATTTGTACAAAAATGGTAAGGCTTTGATCACTCACCATCTTGTCTTTTTTAAAATCTCCCCTTTAATGCTCCTTTGCCCCATTTATAATAAAGAAGTGGGATGCCCCCATTTTTAGTTCCTATTTTGCAAAACATTCAGAAATTTCACCACTCATACTAGTTTGGGAGGGGTTCTGAAGGTTTGGGAGGAAAATGCACAAATCATATGACCTACTCCAAGGTTTTGATCCACTTCAAAGTTTCCGAATTGGCATCATTTCAGTTTAATTGTGCCCTTAGGTTTTCTAAAATTCTCTAGGGATGTTTGCTAGGGACCTAACATTTACAGAGGGAAGGTAGAGTATCTCATTACCCCACTATGTTCAGTTACAGTCAGCTCAATTGTGTGCATTATTTTCAGAAAATAATGCAGACATTATTTTAATCCTGTCAATAGGCTTTGCACAGAAATAGAGGTTTTAGATTGCTTTGATCAAAGGAAAACATTGCAACTTAAATATGTGTCAGTACTGGCAGTCTTTGACTTACAACCATTCATTTAATGAACTATTGCAGAGGTTCCCAACCCCCACTCCGTGGAGCGGCACCGGGCCGTGGCATACCAGCAACTGGGCCACGCAAACAAGTGAGGCACCATCTGCTGGATGCAGGCAGCAAATGAAACCACGCCCCCTCTGGTCCATGGAAAAATCTTTCTCCACAGAACCAGTCCCTGGTGCCTAAAAGGTTGGGGGCCTCTGACCTACGGCATTGAAAAAAGAGTCTTACAATGGTTTTTCACACAAATGACACATATGACCATTGCTGCATCCCATGGTCATGGGTTCAAAATTCATACTTGGCAACCAGTAGGTGTTTATGACGATTGCAGTGTCCCAGGGTCATGTGATTACATTTTGCATCCTTCTGACACGCAGTCAGTGGGGAAGCCAGATTCATTTTACAGCTGTGTTACTAACTTAACAACAGCACTGATTCATTTTTCAACAGAGGCAAGGAGGGTCACAAAAAGGGGCAAAGCTCACTTAACAACTGTCTCACTTAGCAAAAGAAATTTGGGCTCAGTTGTGGTCTCGTGTAGGACCACCTCTACTTGATTACAAAAAGTGGACACCAATGTAGCATTGCTAAGTGTATTTAAGTTCATAGCTCTTCACTGGGAAACTTAAGCACGTGCTCAGCACATAGCTCTGAAGTCATTAGGATTTTAGTTTGATTCAGTTTCATTCTTACTTTTGTGATGACCTGTAGGGTCAGGCTGCAATCCTAAAAATATATATGTGTGAATAAGAAGTAACTGTTGCATCTTCCTTCTAGGATGTTAAGGATTTTGTAAGATCTCTTGCCTTGAGTAGGGGGTTTGAGTAGAAGACTCCCAAGGCCTCTTCTAACTCTGTTATTCTGTTAACTTAAATAAATATGGTTTTCTTCCATACTTCCAAACATTATTCCTATCTGTGTTAGGACTTGATATGGTGTATGTTTTAAGTATTCAAAGTGTCTTTGTTACAGACAACTAGGGTGCAAAAATGGAAGTTAAAAAAGGGAAGAGCTGCTTCCATCTTTTCCTAGGTTGGATTGAACCCACAAACTGAACAGTGTAATGATCTCCAGATTTCCAATATATGGGTATCAAACTGAAATTAGGCAGCCACCAATAAATACTTAGACTATTTTCTCCAATCTCCAGCCAGAGATATTAAACTGCCATTCTCAACCTCCCTTACCTCTAACTAAGGAAGATGGGTGTTGTAGTCCAAGGCTCCTGGAGGCAGGGGGAGAAGATTAGTAAAAAGAATTGTATGAATCCCCACAAAATGATTCAGTGTATCGAAATCTCTCTGGTATGAATGTTTTAAAGATTGGTTAGTAATGACTCATAATATCTACAGTGGGTGAAAATGGGACTTGGGTAGCATCATTAGCATCAAAGGTATTTGTGCACAATATTTTCCTTGATCAATCACACTCAACCACCCCAACCTTAGAAAGGAAGATTTACATAACATAGTAACATTGACGGAACAAGGCCAATTCCCCCCACCAACTCTTCCCCAACTGCTTCACAGCTTCCTTTCCCTCAGTTCAACCATGCATGGCTAATAGCATCAAGAGATTATCTTCTTCTTCTTCTTTCCTGTTTGCAGAGGAAGTGAAATCACTTCGGGGAAAAATAGAGAAGCTTTCTAGAAGTTTGATCAACTACTGGAGAAGATCACACTGAACTCTGGCAAGGCCAATAAGTGCTCTTCCACCCCCAAAAAGTTTCTGACAACTGAGTTTGCAGCCAGGACTTTTAGTTTGCACAATCTGAAAATGAAAGGGTTTTTCTTGATAGCCTAAGAGATTGCACAGGTAAGAGAATAGCAATAGCAATAACACTTAGACTTATACAGTGCTTCACAGTGCCTTACAGCCCTCTATAAGCAGTTTACAGTGTTGGCAGATGGCCCCCAACAATCCGACTCCTCATTTTACTGACCTCAGAAGGATGGAAGGCTGAGTCAATCTGGAGCCAATGAGAATCAAACTGCTGGCAGTTGGCACAATTAGCCTGCAATACTGCATTCTAACCATTGCGCCCCCATGCCTCTTTCAAGAGGACACCACAATATCAAGAGAACAGCGCCCTTTTATTCCCCATTAAAGAAAATTGGTTCCCCCTGCAGAAAGAGGTATCCTTTTGGGTTAGCAGTATTATTGGTTTGTTTTATCACAAAAGACCTGCCTATTCTCAAAGATTCAGATGGAAGATAATAACATTAGCTCAGCCTTCTCCAATCTAGTCCTCTCGGGGTAAAGTTTAATTTCTGAAATTCCCAGGGTGTGGGGAATTAAGGATGGTTGTCCACTTACAGTCATTCGTGTCCCACTCATCTGCAGTTGGTCAGATGTTACTCTGCATCTGCTGCTTGGCTTCTGTGAATAGCAGGAGTCCTTAATTTGCTTCCAGAAGATATCCAGGCTTTGAATCCTAATGATAAGGAAAAACTGTCCTTCTCCAAAATAGAGCTAAGGGGAAGAGAACTGATATAAAGAAAAAGAAAATATAATGAACAGAAGATATCAGGGATGGTCCCCAGGTGTTTTCCTGCAGGGATTATATATATAGTCTATATATAGATTATAGTTTTGTAATTTTCCTGGTGTTCATGCTTTTTAGCTATTTAAAATGAATACACCCAGGAATCATTCTTTTGTTTTTAATATTCTCATTAACATATATATATATATATATATATATATATATATATATATATATATATATATATATATGTCTTTGGTTGTTCGGGTTTTCTCCCGCGTAAAATTGGAAGTGTCTTGGCAACGTTTCGACGAAGTCACATTCGTCATCTTCAGGCTGGTGTTTTTAGCTTCTTGCTTTGAGCAGCAATGTGTGGTTTTAGCTGTTTCTTCCTTTTAACTGCCAGTGAGGGTATGAACTGATTGGATGGGAGCTTGGCTGTGTTCTGATTGGGTGAGGTGTGTTCATGCTGTGTGGGCGTTTTTCTATCTCGAGATAGGGTTAGGGTTTAGGGTTAGGGTAAACGCCCACACAGCATGAACAAGCGAGATGATACCTCCCGCCTACCAGCCATTTGGAAACCTGCCCTTATTGACAAACGACTCCCTAACCCAAAATCTTAAACCCCTCTGCAACTCAGACTAACCTGAGCACAACCAAACAGAACACTCCCCCAGCCAATCAGAGCACAGCCAAGCCCCTAACCATTCAGAACACACCTCCACCCAATCAGAACACAGCCAAGCTCCCACCCAATCAGTTCATACCCCCACTGGCAGTTAAAAGGAAGAAACAGCTAAGACCACACATTGCTGCTCGAAGCACGAAGCTGAAAACACCAGCCTGAAGATGACGAATGGGACTTCGTCGAAACGTCGCCAAGACACTTCCAATTTTACGTGGGAGAAAACCCGAACAACCAAAGACCTACATACAAATACCCGCGAAAACCTCAGAAAACATATATATATATATATATATATATATATATATATATATATATATTCATATATATATGGATCTTTGGTTATATATGTTATATATATATATATATGTATGTATGTATGTATGTATGTATGTATGTATGTCTTTGGTTATTTGGGTTTTCTCCTGCATCAAATTGGAAGTGTCTTGGTGACGTTTCGACGAAGTCTCATTCGTCATCTTCAGGCTGGTGTTTTCGGCTTCGTACTTCTAGGAGCAATATACCGTATATGCCGGCGTATTAGGCGACCCGGCGTATAAGACGACCCCCATCTTTATAGCCGGGCCACATTCCTAGAATGTCGTTTTATACGCCGGAAACTACCAGTATTTCTGGCGTATAAGACGACTCGGCGTATAAGACGACCCCCGTCTTTGGCGCCAATTTCAGCGCTCGCGGAAGTCGTCTTATACGCCGGCATTTACGGTATATATATATATATGAGAGTCAGTTTGGTCCAGTGGTTAAGGCACTAGGCTAAAAGGCAGGAGACTGTGAGTTCTAATCCTGCCTGAGGCATGAAAGCTGGCTTTGAGGCCAGTTACTATCTCTCAGCTCAACTCATTTCACCTTGACTTATTTGTAAAAATAATAAAGGTGGGATAGAAATAAAATAAATATACATGTACTCACTTTAAAGTGATTGCCATTGCCCATATAAGGCTTACCTAGTTGGATAATGAAACGTCTGCAAGAAAACAACCAAGCTCAAAGAGCACCAAGGATCTCACAGCTCAACCCTGAGCTACATTTTTTGTCTTCTATTGGCTTAACGAGTAACCCTAACTTTAACTCTAACCCTTTATACTTCGTCTAAAATAAATATACAACTCATTAGGTGATTTGTTCATTTGGTCCACTAGTGTCAGGTAGCAATTCTCCAGGTATTCAGGCAGAGGGATTCCCTCTGGCTATGCAGGTATTTAATTTGAAGACTTGGTCAATTCAACCGTTCAGTTTAAATGTCTGAACTGAATCCCTGGAGCAATTCAGAGGACCAAATCAGTTCTAAAAAAGAGTTCTAAAAAAAACAGAGAAACAGGTTGCAGAACTGTTGGAATCCATTGTTAGAACATATTTCTATGCAACACCTACAGTGGTATTCAGCCAGTAGATGGTAGTATTTACAAGTTTGGATGTATGGTATATACTAATGGTGGCCTGTGCCAGAGGCAGCACTCAGAGCCCTCTCTGTGGGCACGCACGCCATTGCCCCAGCCCTGCCTCCCCTGCAGCCCCCTTTTCAACAGTAGCCCCTCTGGAGGAGAGTCACCCCCGAGCGCAGCCCGCTCAGAGCAGCACAGCCAAGGACATGGCAGCCGGGCAGTGGGGACATGACTCCACCCTCATGCCCTGTCATGTGCACTTGATGCTGGGGGTGCGTGGGCAGAGGGCGTGGTCACCATGTCACTGCTGGGCTGCCTGGGTGATCTGCTGTGGGCTGTGGAGGCTGTGAGTGGCCCTGTGGGCGGGCAGGGTGGGGACGGAGTGGGGTTGGGATGGGGCAGAGCAGAGCAGAGCAGGCAGGATGGGGTGGAGCAGGGGTGGGATGAGGGCAGAGGCGGTTTGGGGGCACTCAGTCTCTAAAAGGTTCGCCATCACTGGTATATACTCTATGCTCTTTTGTTCTTAGTAGAGATTTCTGTTTCCTATTACAGTTATATAGTTGATCAGTAAAGCACATGGTGACTGTACTTTTTGCTCTGTGTGGTGCTTTATATAAACAGAATTTCTAATAAGAATGATGAAATTACTATACCTGGGCATGCATACATTTCAAAAGGACCCCAGAATTCTGAAATGATAAGATTTTCCTGCATCCATTTAAAGTTTGAAGTGAGGAAGTTTCCTGAATTGGTTAAAATCTAAGTTGCTAAATCTAAACTGAAATTCAAAACCAATATCAAAGTCCAAATTAAACTAATTTTATTTTTCAACTGTACTTAGCAAGTTGGCAGAAATCTGATACAAGAGAGAGAAAGAGTGAAAGAGAGGAGAGAGAGAGAGAGAGAGAGAGAGAGAGAGAGATATTAGTGAAGCTGGAAGCATGGCTTAGATCCCAAACTTACTCTGTTCCTTGCCTATTTGCCACTAGAAGGAAGAAAGAAATGCTGGGGTTTGTGATGTTACAAGCTGAGTTAAATTCAGAAAGGAGACAAAGCTGCATTTAACATCATACAATATTAACAACTTATTTTAGTCTACTGTGCCATTTGAAATCTTTTTCTCCAGCCTGCTTTATTTGCTCAATATTTTTTAGCCTTCCAAACAAGAGGGAAATTCTCACCGCTTAATTTCTATTGTTCCTCTCTGGTTTCCCCTTCCCATCCAATCCATGATACAGCGGTGCTGACAGCATTTGTATTTGATTCCAATTACCTTTGGAATCCATCAAGTGGGTTGTTCCTGAAACCAGTCCAGAAGAAATAGGGGGAAAGGGAAACGAACTAGCCCCTTTTTCACATACGCACAAACACACCTAACCGCAATTCTAGTTTTATACAAGGACAATCAGTGAGAACTGGCTTGATCTGAGACTGTGGGGCTGGTTAATTATGAGACCATTTTTGACTTCCTCTAAAAAAAAACAAAAAACAAAATAAAGCATAAAAAAAAGGAAAATCCTCTCTGTTTGCTTTCTTTTTAATGTGACAGATCTGTTCTGTGAAATGTAAACAAGCCGTAAGCATGCAAGACATGCCAACAGGAAGTTAGTTGGCGAATAAGACTCAAAACTCCTGGCTCCCCTCCAGAGGAGCTTAGCCACGGATTGTACACTGCACAGGCATTCTCTGAGACCATATGCAGCACAGAAGGCAGAGGAAATAAGAAAAATACTAGACTATCATGCTCCAGAACTGATGTACCAGGCAGCATCTGTGTGCAAAACAAGGAGGATTTACACAGCATTGCAAACATTAAATGAATCATTGCAGCATGGAATTCCACAATAGGTAATTCTTGACTTACCAACTGTTCATTCAAAGATACAACTGCACTGAAAAAAAAAAGCGGCATACAAAACAATTGTCATACTTACAACCATCGTAGCATTCCTCACACTCACGTGGTCAAAATTTGGGGGTTTAGCAACCGGTATCTATTTATGATGTGACATATTCATGAGCCGAGGTGGCGCAGCAGTTAGAGTACAGTACTGCAGGCCACTTTAGCTGACTGTGTTCAGCAGGTCAGCGGTTCAAATCTCACCGGCTCAAGGTTGACTCAGCCTTCCATCCTTCCGAGGTAGGTAAAATGAGGACCCAGATTGTTGGGGGCAATGTAAATATATACATATATATATATTGCTTACTGGTGTACACCGCTTAGAGAGTGCTTGCACTTAAAAGCGGTATATAAGTCTCATAAATAAATAAAATAAATAAATAAATATGACAATTACAGCATCCCAGAGCCTTGTGGTCGCCATTTGTGATCTTCTCAGTTGGCTTCCAACCAAGTCAGCTCCTGACCCAGTTCTTGTTTTTAAGTAATTAACTGCACGGTACCAAACCAAATACTTTCCAAGCCTGCTATATGTGTCCACCCCAGTAATTCCCAGCCAACACAGTCATTTTTTCCCCAGGAAATATGGGAATTGGGAGTTTAACACATACAGTGAATGCTGGAAAGCTAGAGAATCCATGATAGATTAGAGATTAGATTAGATTAGATGTCAGATTAGAGCACGGGTCTCCAAACCTGGCAGCTTTAACACTTGTGGACTTCAACTCCCAGAATCCCCAGCCAGCATGCTTAACTCTGGCAACTTTAAGATGTATGGACTGGCTGGGGAATTCTGGGAGTTGAAGTCCACGGATCTTAAAGTTGTCAAAGTTGGGAAACATTGCTCTAAAGCAGGGCTCTCCAAAATCGGTAACTTTACAATTTGTGGACTTCAACTCCCAGAATTCCCTTGCCAGCAGAACTGGCTGAGGAATTGTGGGAGTTGAAGTCCACACATCTTAAAGTTGCCGAGTTTGGAGAGTTCTGGACAAGAGGCTTGCACAGCTCAGCAGGTCAGTTCCCATAACTTTTGGTTTGCATGTTCAGTCAATGGACTTTGGTCCTGGTTCCATAATGACCTCAGAAGAGGAAGAGGCTTCTTGCCTCATATGCTGAGTCTAGCTCCTTCTCTCTTGCACTTTTGTACTGTTCTAGTATGAAAAACAGCTGATTTGGCTGTCTCTTTTGCATCCATACCTCAAGGTTCCTTTTCCTGTGTCGTAATTCTCATTCAGCACAAAGTCTCCAAGCATGCTATGACCTGGATACTTGGTGAAGTCGGATATGGCTAAAATTCAGAATGGTTATAAAAAAAAAAAGAGGAAAAAGTCGGTGAAAGCAAGCATTCCACCCAGTTCTACTGTGCTTTTTGTCCCTGCTGACAAGTGCTAATCATTTTGTTCTTGAGAGAGAGAAAAAAAGAAGTAAAAACTGAGATTTCATTATGCAATTGTCTATAATAAGAGATGAAACCAACAGCTGGTTCAAAAGATACAAATTTCAATGACACAAGAGGAACTTCCATCCTTCTAATGGCTAAGCATATGAAATGGGAAGTAGTGATAAGGGAATAATTCATTTCGTCTGCATTTGAATACTAATGTACCTAATTTTGCATTTTCAAAGCAACACTCGAACAAACACTTATCATGCAAAAGTCAATGTTCTCTGAATTTCACAATGCAATTTGCCAATCATTTGGGGGTGGGGGAAAGGGCTTTATCAAAGAAAAGTCTTTAAAAAATGGACATGTTCATGAATATAATGTTTTAAAAATGCATGTTAGGAGAATAACAGAATAACAGAATGACAGAGTTGGAAGGGCCCTTGTAGGTTCCAAGCAGGAAACCCTATACCATTTTAGACAAATGGCTGTCCAGTCTCTTCTTTAAAACTTCCAGTGTTGGAGCATTCACTGCTTCTGGAGGCAGGTTGTTCCACCAGTTGATTGTTCTAACTGTCAGGAAATTTCTCCCTAGATTGGTTCTCTCCTTGATTATTTTCCACCCATTGCTTCTTGTCCTGCCTTCATTTGCAAATTGCACATTAGAAAAATAAAAATGCACATCTGGAGAAGTATGCACTAGGATCCTTCATAAATTAGAATGTGTTGCTTAAAGAATGAAGTTCTTAATTTTGACCATGTGCTTGCTTGCATCCGCATGTCTTCCAAAATTCAATCTCATGAACGATTGTAGATCTATGGGTGCTTCTAGATATGCTGAAAGTAAACCATGTGTGAATCCATCATTAGATGCAAACCCAGGTCCTTCCAAGATGAAATCTTTGCCACTTCCGGAATAGTCTTAGCCACACTCAGTCTAGTCTGCTTTAAAGAGTTGCTGTGGATGTGACATATTTGACAGGACAAAGTGGAAGTAGAAGAGATATAGATGAGTGATATGTAACAGAATAACAGAGTTGGAAATGATCTTGGAGGTCTTCTAGCCCAACCCCCTGCTCAGGCAGGAAACCCTATATCGTTCCAGATAAGTGACTGTCCAGTCTCTTCTTAAAAGCCTCCAATGATGGAGCACTCACAATTTCTGAAGGCAAGCCATTCCACTGATTAATTATTCTCACTGTTAGGAAATTTGTCCTCAGTTCTAATTTCCTTCTCTCTTGATTAGTTTCCATCCATTGTTTCTTGTCTTGATTTCTGATGCTTTGGATAATATGTTGACTCTCTGTTATTTCCAAAAATTGGAACACTGCTATCATGTCACCCCTGGTCCTTCTTTTCACTAGACTATACAAACTCAGTTCTTGCAAGCGTTCTTTATATGTTTTAGCCTCCAGCCCCCTAATCATCTTTGTTGCTCTTTTCTGCACTCTTTCCAGGGTCTCAACATCTTTTTTCTAATGTGGTGACCAAAACTTGATGCAGTATTCCAAGCGTGACCTTACCAAGGCTTTATAAAGCGGTATTAACACTTCACGTGATCTTGATTCTATCCCTTTGTTAATTCAACTTAGGATTGTGTTGACTTTTTTGGCTGCTGTCGCACATTACTGGCACATATTTACATGATTGTCCACTAGGACTCCAAGGTCCTTCTTAGATGCTTTGTGTGCACCAGGTAGGATAGAGCAATGTTCAGACTTGATGAATGGAAATTTCTGGTGTTCTTTCTTATCATGTGTGTGCTCCAACTGAAGTGTGAGCTGATACAACTAAACTGGCTTTGCCTCCATTCACAATGGAATCACTAAGAGCTATGCTGATCTTCTTAGCTTAACTTATTTCAAAGGGTTGTGATTGTGGCTGAAAGGAGGAGGAAGTGCTAGATTTGCTCTCCTGAACTCCTGTACAAAAAGCAAAATATACCTCAAAGAAAGAAGTATCAATAGACTGGATTTTTTTTTTAAAAAAAAAAAAACTATCTTTCTAAAAACCAAAAATTTCCTATGGAGAGAAAGAGAAACAGGGCTATTTAAGCTGTAAAGTGAGTTTAAGGGACCACTGCAACTAATTATATTATCCAACCCTTTGGTAGATAGAATCAAATAGAGAAGGAAAGATTGCAACATACAAGGAACCAATATTCTCAGAAAGAGGAAATATAAATAAACTTTTTGTACTTTAATGCAATGCTTCAATTCAGCAAACTGTACAAAAGACATCTACTTCAGAGGTCTCCTTTCTTTTATAGAAGTTGGGCGAAATCTGAAAGTGGATACTCGGTGAACTGATATGTAAATTGACATATGTAGTTGTTTATCTGCTACTTCCTTGTTGCCAGTTTACATACCTGGTTTACTGTAAAGAAAAAAGAAAAAAAAAAGATTAAACATGAAAATATTGTCTCTGATGTTACCACCCCAAGAAATAACAAACCTGATTTATGGTCATAAGTTGTGATGGTCATAAAGCAAGTCATCCACATGACTGACCCGATTTTATCTTTTTTGCAGTGGTCATTAAATGAATCACCATGATTATTAAGAGAATAGTGGTTGTTAAGCAAATGTATTGCTCACCTTGGAGTATTTTTCCAAAAAACCACCAGTGAATCCTGGATTTTCACAAAAATGTAAATCATGGTCAAGTGACAATGGGACATAAATGTTGCCCAAAATGCAATTCTGTCACTACGGGGGGGGGGGGTATTGAAACTTTGGAATAAGTCCATTTTCAGGGGCCATTCATAAATTTGAATAGTTGCTAAGTGACTGGTCGTAAGTTGAGACCTATCTGTATAATAGTACTGTAGCCTCACTGCAGGCATTTCAACTATACAACCCTTTCCACCCCCAAACCTTAGAAAATAACAATAACAACAACAACAACAACAACAATAATAATAATAATGTTGGAAGGGACCTTGGAGGTCATCTAGTCCAACCCCCTGCTCAGGCAGGAAACACTATACCATTTCGGACAAATGGCTGTCCAGTCTCCTCTTAAAAACTTCCAGTGTTGGAGCATTTACTGCTTCTGGAGGCAGGTTATTCCACTGGTTGATTGTTCTAACTGTCAGGAAGTTTTTCCTTAGTTCCAGGTTGCTTCTCTCCTTAATTAGTTTCCATCTGTTGCTTTGGAAAATAGCTTGACTCCCTCTTCTTTGTGGCAGCCCCTGAGATATTGGAACACTGCTATCATGTCCCCCCTCGTCCTTCTCTTCATTAAACTTCTTCTTTTTCTTCTTCTTGTGCCGTATCCGTTATCGGACATTGGCGATCATATTGGCGATCCTGTTTTTATCAGCAGCCTCACGAAAAAGTGCTGCTGAGTTTTGTCCAAGCCAGTCCCTTAGATTTTG